ATCGGTCGCGGCACCGGTCCACCTGATGTGAGTCCCCTTTCCTGTTATCCGAGCTCCAACCAAATGAACGCAGAGTCTCGGGCGTTGGCAGAAAATCTACGCCTCCCGACGGACGCCCTCTTCGCCGCATTGCCAACGTCGTCTCCGCTGAACCAGTACACACTCCCCTGCGTCCCCGGCGGTTTTCTCTCTCGACACCGCGGTTCTCCCATGGGACACTTTGGAGAGTCCATAAACACGAATCAGTTCAACAACCCGCACAACGCACACCAATCGGACTACCCGGCGTGGGAGTTCGACGCACTCATGTCCTCCAGCCTTGAGAAGATGCAGGGCTACCAGGGTTTATTTCAGCGTCGTTTCTCGGGCTTTGACTTCTGCTCGCCTGTGTCGCTAGGTTCTGAAGCAATCGGTAATTCTGTGCCCGCACCCCGTTGCCCATTTCGACATACTTCGCTCAAGCCGCCTGGAGATGCCTACCCCACACTTACAGCAGACCAGGCGGATGAAGAGGTGGTGGACGAAGAGGAGGGTGTCGAAGTACAGGCAGAGAAAATAGACTTTCCGCGAAATTATTCTACTTGGAATGAGCACACAGGCGAGCAGACTGCAGCCACATCAGTGCTCCAATTTAACAATTCTCTCGTACTGAACGCCTGCAGCATAACGCCCAGCGCTGAGAACTTTCCGTCCCCGAGAACCTTTTGCTCAACAGGCAGTTTTGGAGTTGCAACAAGTGAGTCCACGATTTTCAGGTTTATTTCTTGACTTAACTCCATTTTGTAAAACGATGACCCAACCTAATGCAACGTATGGGACGCGCCAGTTCTGATATACTATACTGAATGCTCAAAATGGATTTTCTGAGTAATCAATCTAGAATACAACAGATGACTACCAGACAAAATTTGTAAGGGGTTTTGGTACAGTTGAATAATCAATTCGGCCCACTTGTGGAAATCTCGGCAGCCTCGGTGGGATTGGAACCCATACCAAGAGGGAGAAGGCTTTAGTACAGAAAACGCTTGAACCAACTGGACTACGAGAGCCCACTGAAAGCCGTGCATTTGATCACATTTGACTCAAGTTACTATTTCAGCCTTCTGAAACTTATGGAATCAACAGTTCGGATACAGTAAGCTGACTGTCTAAGCAGGATTTCCTAAGCAATCATCTAGAATCTATCTGATGACTACGAGGCACAATTATATAATCATAATTAACGATCGGTGATTATTAACGAACATTTTGAGATTACTAATGCTGTACTGTTCTCGAAAACTGGTTGGGACGACCAGCTTACAATGGGAATAATGGTCGGAATTCAATACGCGGCTGTACGCAAAACACCTCAAGGAAGAGAGTTTATAGAAACTATCTTGGGGCCTAGTATAATTGAAATTATAAGAAACGAGAATAGGAGCTCTCCGCAACACATGTTGTCGTGTCCTAAATCTCCAGGAGATTGGAGTCACGGTTCAGTTTAGGAGTAGGGTTATCGTCAAGATAGGGTGAAGGTTAGTGTTTGAGTTAAGTTTAGGTTTGGATTAGAACACAGGAATAGGTAACCTCCCTGAACTTAACCGCACGCCCTACTGTATTCCAGGGGTTCCTCTTTCCGTGTCATAAAAACGAAATTGACCCTACCAGCACACGCCCCGGACTGTGTGGGGCTGGGGACGGGGCAATCCGGGGCTGAGGGCCTTTAGGGACGAACTATATTTATCGTAAAAATTTTTCGAAATCTATGCTTTTGT